AGGCTGATAATGTTAAAATTTCTTAAGGGGGAACTTGTTCTTTTAATGATGAATATAAGTGATTCAGTAAAGGTTGACTTGTCCATCATCCATGATCTGAGAATAATGGAGCCCACAAACATCAAGGCTTGCATGTTACTGAAATACATGGCATACATGATATTTTGTGTGTTGCGTTTGAAACAATTGAGCACTGTCCTTGATACTTTTTTTATTTGCCATAACATACAATTTTTCAGGACAGACTTTTGGGGTGTACCGCCTTCTTCAAGGTCCAAGAAGTACTAATCTTGGATCTTAAAAAGGGGGTGCACCCCAAAAGCTTGTCCTGAAAATTGTATGTTAGTGCAAATAAAAAAAGTATCACAAAGAGTACTCACTTGCTTCTGTTGCAAGTGCACTAATACGGCTACAATGACCTCAAACAAATGTGTTGCATTTCAAGGCCATTCCTTTAGATTGGAAGCTCAGCGCAAAATTACAGAATGTATCATCATATCTGGGCTGCAGTTTAAAAAATTGTCTCAGGGACTCTTTTTTTGTTGCTTGCCAAGAATTGGCATTCTAAATATATGGACTGCTTTAATGCAACAAACATTAGTGCACTTGTAGTAATGATCTGCAACTGATTGCTAGAGTATAAAAAGGGCCCTAAAAGATATTCATCAGATCTGTCTACCATATCAGGTGACGATCTAATGTCTATAGGGGTAGGTAAGCAACTACTGGCTACGAGTTCGTGGGGGAGAGCATGGGTTGCAAAGGTTAGAACAGCATTTTTCAACCTTTTACAGTCAAGGCACCCTTTAAAATTCTGCACAATTCTGAGGCACCCCATTTTAAAATATAAAAACAAAACTAATGGTTTAATAATGTAGGCTCCACACGTGTAGAACACCCAACATTGGAGGCGATTTATTCTTACAAAGCAAATACACCTTTGCACACTGGGGCTGACTAGTATTTCAACATTTCTTCTCCCTTATTTTCTCTCCCCCATGTAGCTAGCATGGCCCCAAAGCTGAAGAGGTAGGAGGGTTATCAACTGAGGACATGGGTAGTTGTTAGGACGCTGGTGGCTGGCCTACATGGTGCCCAAGGTTGCACAAAGAAAACTTATGGATTGTGTAACAAAATGGCAGCCTTGATCCACCCTCTGGCTTGTACACAATTTTGGGGGATAATTTAAGGCAATTTTTCGGCATTTTGTCAAAGCACCCCTGAAAAACTAGGAATGCACCCTGTTTCAAAAAGGCTGGGTTAGGAAAACTGTCCTGATATCAAATATGATCTTCCAAGATACATAGTACTACAAGTCAATGTTTTATAGCATTTTCCAGACAGTATTACTGTGGCATGTTATCACTTCAGTTTTCAAAAAGACTTTGCTCTTATTACATTGGATGAAACAACTGTGGACACCTTTGCCTAATTACTTGTCTTGCGTGCAATCAACTTGAGAGATTAGTACATACTGCATTCCATAACACTTATTGCTCCCTCTAGTTGCCACACTAAGGACAGTTTTTGTGTGGACGCAGATGGTCCATGGTTTTCTGATGTGCACCATCATCCATCACCCAGGACTACTCAGCCTTAGGCTTATTAAAAGGGAAGGCTTAACTCATTTTATTAAAACACTGAGGGTCAAAGGTTACTTCATGACTGCTAACATTTCTCCAGTCTCCTGCCACTCCTCACTTTCAGAATATATACTGCACATATGCTGGTCAGCTATAACTTTATGACCACCTACCTAATATTGAGTAGGTCCCCCTTTTTGCCACCAAAAACAACCCAGACCCATTGAAGCATGGACTCTACTAAACCTCTGAAGGTATGGTGTGGTATCTGGCACCAAGCTGTCAATAGTAGATCCTTTAAGTCTTGTAAATAACAAAGCGGGTCCTCTGTGGATCTGAATGTTTTTTCAGCACATCCCACAGATGCTCAAATGGATTGAAATCTGGAGATTTTGGTGGCCAAGTCAACATCTCAAAGTCATTGCTGTATTCCTCAAACCAATCTTTAATCATGTTTGTAGTACCGCAGGGCACATTATCCTGCTGAAAGAGGACACTGCCATCAGGGAATACTGTTTTCATGAAGGGGTACTTCATCAGTATATATATATATATATATATATATATATATATATATATACACACACTATATAAACATATATACTGTGTATATATATATATATATATACTCTCACACGTGTATATACAGTATATACAGTATATGTGTATACTGTATATGTTGCTAAATTAAAAATCGGATTGTATGAGTATGTTGGGTTTTTTTCTTTTAATCCTGTAAGCAACATATTCTTCCAAATATCTACTGTAATATGCCTTCCGCACATTTTGGCATTGGATCAATGATGACAATTTTTCACAGCAACTGACATGTGTCTCAGCCTAAAGGTTAGTGAGATTATACGAATAAATCATGATCGTTTCACTTTAACACACTGACAGAAATGGACTAAAAACTCTCCTTGAGCATCTTTATCAATCTTTATAAACCAAAACTCGAGACAGGGACTGCTCGGCATTCCTTGATATTTTGCTGCAGTTCATGAAATTATAAATTGTGCACAAAAATAAGTGCAGTAAAATAAAACAACATTATAGCTGGGAAAATTATTGTTCTTCATTTGTACATATTACAGCTTTGACAAAATATACAAGCTGTAATTTATAAAAAAAAAGCTGCATTTAATATTTCAATACATATTTTTTTTCTTTTATTAATCTATTAGTGCCGTTCCATTGAGTTTTTCTTTTGACATTTTTGTATCTACTTTATTGGAAGCTACACCCATTAGTGCGTTCCTCTAATGTTTTGTGCACTAATATTTCATGAGCTATCTTATGCATTATTTATCTTACGTGAATAATGTTACATTCAGATATGATAGATAATGAACTAAACAAAATGTGTATTATATATATATATATATATATATATAAAAATGTCTTTTCCTCTTAATATATGCAATGTATGTATATATATATACAGTTGCAAGAAAAAGTATGTGAACCCCTTGGGATTACGTGGAGTTTTGCATGAATTGGGCATAAAATGTGCTCTGAACATCATCTAAGTCACAACAATAGAAGAACACAGTCTGCTGAACATAAATACTACACAAACATTAGATGTTGCCATGGTTTAATTGCACATAACATGTAAACATTCACAGTGCAGGGAGGAAAAAGTATGTGAACCTTTGGACTTAATAACTGGTTGACCCTCCTTTGGCAGCAATAACCTCAACCAAACGTTTCCTGTAGTTGCAGATCAGACCTGCACAACGATCTGAGTAATTTTGGACCACTCCTCTTCACAAAACTGTTTCAGTGTAGCAATATTCTTGGGATGTCTGGTGTGAATCGCTTTCTTAAGGTCATGCCACAGCATTTCAATCGGGTTGAGGTCAGGACTCTGACTGGGCCACTCCAGAAGGCGTATTCTGTGCTGTTGCAGCCATTGTTTTGTTGAATTACTTGTATGCTCTGGGTCATTGTCCTGTTGCATCACCCATCCTCTGCAGAGCTTCAGTTGGCGGACAGATGGTCATACGTTTTCCTGCAAAATGTCTTGATAAATTCTGGAATTCATTTTCCCATCAATGACAACAATCCGTCCAGGCCCTGAGGCAGCAAAGCAGCCCCAAACCATGATGCTCCCTCCGCCATGTTTTACAGTGGGGATGAGGTTTTGATGTTGGTGTGCTGTGCCTTTTTTTCTCCACACATAGTGTTGTGTGTTCTTCCCAAACAACTCAATCTTGGTTTCATCTGTCCACAGTATATTTTGCCAGTAGTGCTGTGGAACATCCAGTTGCTCTTTTGCAAACTTCAAACGTGCTGCAATATTCTTTCTGGACAGCAATGGCTTCCTCCGTGGTGTCCTCCCATGTACTCCATTCTTGTTTAATGTTTTCCTTATTGTAGATGTGTCAACAAAAATGTTAGCATGTGCCAGAGATTTCTGTAGGTCTTTAGCTGACACTCTGGGATTCTTCTTTACCTCATGCAGCATTCTGCGCTGTGCTCTTGCAGTCATTTTTACAGGACGACCACACCTAGGGAGAGTAGCAACAGTGCTAAACTTTCTCCATTTGTAGACAGTCTGTCTTACCGAGGACACATGAACATCAAGGCTTTTGGAGATACTTTTGTAACCCTTTCCAGCTTCATGCAAGTCAACAATTCTTGATCGTAGGTCTTCTGAGAGCTCTTTTCTGCGAGGCATGGTTCACATCAGACAGTGCTTCTTGAAACCAGTAAACCCAAAACAGGTGTGTGTTTTTTAGGCAGGACAGCTGTCAGCAACACATCCAATATCATCACACTGATTGGAGTCAAGGTTGGCTCACTTCTGGCTCCAATTAGCTCTGGGAGAAGTCATTAAGCTAGGGCCTCACATACTTTTTCCTCCCTGCACTGTGAATGTTTACATGTTATGTGCAATTAAACCATGGCAACATCTAATATTTGTGTAGTATTATGTTCAGCAGACTGTGTTCTTCTATTATTGTGACTTAGATGACGTTCCGAGCACATTTTATGCCCAATTCATTCAAAACTCAACGTAATCCCAAGGGGTTCACATACTTTTTCTTGCAACTGTATATATATATATGCATTATAAGATTTTTAAATCTGAATTCCATTGTTTAAATGTCTCAATAATCAACAGGCACATATACATGGGAATATGATTCTTGTGGAAACCTGCATCCAGTTTCCCAAGTAGGCAGTTGGCTTTCAGTGCCCAAACCGTCCACATTCTGGTGCTATTGTAGATAGCAGACCAGTCAGTATTGAAAACTGTACAGTACTGTCCCCTGTGTGCCTAAAAGGCAGTTGCAGCATCTTAAACCCATTGCATCAAATGTGGGTATTGTCTGTCAGAACCACAAAATTCCAGACTTCAGGGCTGGATCTAGCCTATCTGATCCTGGGTGCAGTAAAACAGTCAGGGGGCATAATGTCAACACTGTGTGTAAGTCACTGGCAGTCTGTAGTCTGTAGGCTCATTATATTTGGGTAATTAAACAGAACTTGTGCCCTCTTATATCATATGTCCTACTCCCTATCAGATTGGCTCCTTTACATTAGGGTCCCCATCAGAGTGCCTCCTTACATCAGGGTGCTCATCAGAGTGCGCTCTTACATCAGGGTCCCCATCAGAGTGCCCCCTTACATAAGGTTTCCTATCAGAGTGTCCCCTTACATCAGGATCCCCATCAGAGGGCCCCTTACATCAGATGGCCCTATCAGAGTGCCCTCTTACATCAGGGTCCCCATCAGAGTGCCCCCTTATATCAGGGTCCCCATCTGATAGGGACATCTGATGTAAGGGGCCACCCTGATGGGGACTCTGATGTAAGGGGGCCCTCTGATGGGGACCTTGATGTAAGAGGGCACTCTGATAGGGCCATCTGAGGTAAGGGGGCACTCTTATAGGGACCCTTATGTAAGGGGGCACTCTGATGTAAGGGGCCACTCTGATGGGGACCCTGATGTAAGGAGGCATTCTAATGTGGACCCTGATGTAAGGGGGCACTCTGATAGGGACATCTGATGTAGAGGGCCACTCTGAGTTCCCCCTTACATAAGGGTCCCCATCAGAGTTCCCCCTTACATTAGGGTCCCCATCAAGGGCCCCTTACATCAAATGTCCCTATCAGAGTGCCCCCTTACATCAGGGTCCCCATCAGAGTGCCCTCTTACATCAGATGTCCCTATCAGATTGCCCCTTTACATAAGGGTCCCCATCAGAGAGCCCCCTTACATCAGGGTCCCCATCAAAGTGGCCCCTTACATCAGATGTCCTCACCAGAGTGCCCCTTATATTATATGTTCCCATCAGAGGGCCCCCTTACATCATAATTCCCTATCAGAGTGCTCCCTTATATCAGAAGTCCCCATCAGAGTGCCCCCTTACATCAGGGTCCCCATCAGAGTACCCCCTTACATCAGAGTCCCCATCAGAGTGCCCCCTTACATATGACCATTTATCCCCGCCAGAGTGCCCTCTTACATCAGGGTCCCCATCAGAGTGCCCCCACATATGACCATTTATCCAGTCAGAGTGCCCTCTTATATCAGGTGTCCCCATCACAGTGCCCTGTTATGTGTGCCTCCTTCCATCAACTGGCTGCAGCAGACTGGTTCAAGGATCAGTGGATGCATTCTCACAGACTGGGGGGGGGGTGCAACTAAAATCTGGAGGAGGCATAGCCCACGCCAGCACCCCTAAATGCAATGCTGTGTTGGGCATAAAATGCAGCATCTGTTTACTCCACATCCAGACTGCCTTAAAAATACAGAATATACCAGTGGGCAAAGATGTGGGCATTACCTGATGTCATCAAGTGGATGCCAAAAACCCCACAGAAAATGTGTCCACTGCATGGCATGGCTGTACAGGTTCTTGGGAGATATAGTCCCCAGAAGGACGGTATGTTACCAGCATGTGACCAATCACTGGCATATCTGTAACTCCAGTCTCCCAGCATTTTTTCAAACTATAAAGAGATTGAACATGAATTGATCAATAGTGCAGCTATGGACCTAAAGCAGTTTTAAACCCAAAAGCAAACATTCACTCTATTGCAGGTCACCAATTCTTAGATGTGATGGATGCATTAATTTTCTTTTTTAGGCTTTCCTTTATTTTCACTGGGTGATACAACCAGTAAGTCTGTTGTTTTTCAACAGAACAAGCTGTCTTGCAGATGTAGCAGTTAGAGGGTTGAGACAAACCATTTTACAATGCTTACAATGTTCAGCTTTTATTTATGTAACACCTTTATCCAAAAAGAAAAAAAACTGTGCTGTAACTGCTTATATAGTGTTAGCTGATGTTGGCTTCAAGCTGTTAGTGTATTTAAATCTGCTACTGAATCTAACACTCCCCTCCCCCCAGACAAATAATGTTGCTGTCTGCTGTGCCCCTATGCTCCTTCATCCAGAGTGGAGGCACTCTAATACAGAAGGTGTGTTACTGGCTAGTTAACCAGGTAAAACAGAGAAAAAAAGCCTAAAAAAGAAAACTAATGCAGCCACCACATCTAATGATGATTATTCTGTAATATATGAAATTTCTGGTTTGGGGTTTAATATTGCTTCAAAAACACCAGTCCTAACAAAGTAAGATTTATATTATATGTTTGGAGCCTGAGGTTCAGTTTTAAAAGGAGGCCTGTGCTGAGACACATGCAGAGGCTGCCATCATTGAGTTCTTTGGAAATCGCTAACTCCCTGGCAGTCATACTGATCTCTTGCAGGAGCTCTGATTCTACAGGCTGCATTATTTTTGTTCTGTGACAGTGAAAACAGAGGATCAGCATGACTTCCAAGCAAGCAGCATTTTCAGAAGGAGGCCAGCAAAGGAAAACGCACCAAGAATTTCCTTTAAAAACATCTCAAGGTTAAGCAATGCCTTATTTCAACACGAGAACTGATAACAGTGCAGGTTTTTCACACTTCCTAGCTGAGCGTAAATGGATTCATTAATACCACTTCAAAAGAACCACATGTGCTATTTATTTTATCATGTAGTATCATCGTTCTCTTTGACCAGAAAAGAAGAAACTCTGATTTGAAGTAATTATTATTCCTAATAACATGAATAAAATGAATTCATTTCTACAGCACATGCTTATTGTAGTAATTTGTACAGAGAGAATAACATCAACGCTCTTAGCACAGGCTCAGTGCCGGCTGCAATCTAATGGTTCTGCCGCAAAAAGATTTTAGGGATTATTGGCTAAAGAGTAAGGCCCCTTTCACTCGGGCGTTCCAGTCTTTTCATTAGTTAGTTCAGTCATGTTTTTTTCCAAGAAAAAATGGATCAGTTCACATCAATTTTTTCATCAGTTCACATCAATTTTTCATCAGTTTGCATCAGTTTTTCATCCTTTTTTTTCATCCAGTTTACATCAGTTTTTCATCCGTCTTTTTCATCTATTTTTCCTCAGTGTACATCCGTTTTTGTCCATTTACATCCCTTTTTTCACTGTTCCAGTTTTTTTTAACAAAAGAAAAATAGGGTTTTCTTTCATTCAAAAAAACAGATGTTAACGGATGCAGACATTAACGGGTGTAAACAGATGAGCATCTGTTTACATCCACAAGTCCATAGAATTACATGGGTGTCCGTTTTTCATCCGTAAACGGACAGATGAAAAACAGCCATATGAAACGCCCATGTCCGCATCCATTAACCACTTGCCCTGAAGAGGATTTACCCCCCTTCCTGACCAGGCCATTTTTTGCGTTACAGTGCTGCGTTACTTTAACTGAAAATTGCGCGGTCATCATGCAATGCTGTACCCAAATTAAATTTATATCCTTTTTTTCCCATGAATTGAGCTTTCTTTCAGTGGTATTTGATCAGCTGTGTGATTTGTTTGCGCTATAAACAAAAAAAAGACTGACAATTTTTGAGAGAAAAATAATATGTTTGACTTTTTGCTATTAAACATGTCCAGTAAAAAAATGTAAAAAATCAAATTTCGTCATAAATTTATGCCAAAATGTATTCTGCTACATGTCTTTGCTTAAAAAAAAATCCCAATATGTGTAAAGTAATTGGTTTAAACTGACAAAAACGGATGTAAAAAACAGATGTAAATGGGTGTAAACAGATGTAAACGGATGAAAACGGATGAAAAACTGATGAAAAAACAGATGTAAACTGATGAAAAACTAATGTGCACTGGTCTGTTTTTTCTTGGAAAAAAACATGACTAAACTGATGAAATAAAAAGAGAACGCCGTGTGAAAAGACCCTAACTCCACTTTTTTTGTGGAAAAAAAAATAATCCCATCTGAGTGAGCTTTGTACATTGCAGGTATTGTAACAAATTTAGTTGCAGATTCTTGCCTGTTTATGCTCTGAAGGAAAAGCTGTCTGTTTCTTTTTTTCTTTGTTTATGTCCATGTGCAGAGTGAATCAGAATGGGAGTGACTTTTTTTTGTTTCATAAATGTTTTATTGAACACAAAATGCACAACATACAGATAATAAATACTTGTTATAGTAGAGACATAATAGGGGATATCAAACATTATTATTACAGGTACTTACATAACGCAGTCAAATTTACACAGCGCTATATATATATATATATATATATATATATATATATATATATATAAATAAATATAGTACATTCACACATCAGTCCCTAACCCTCAAGGAGCGTACAATCTAAGGTCCCTAACTCACATTTATACATACACATACTAGGGCCAATTAACTTACCAGCTTGTCTTTGGAGATGTGAGGTGTGGTGGATCACATAGGAAAATCAAAGAGAGAGAATACAAGACATAGAATTGACCAGTGAAAATCCAACATATGGAACACTGACGCAACATATTAACAAGATCTGATTCAGTGGAGCTCAACAGTAAACAAATAGTCCCGTAAGGCCACTTAAATCCCTTATTATTTTCCTCACCCATGCCATGGTGCACATCACTATTAGTTCGAATGTGCTGCATAGTTCGGTAAAAATAGCTATGTATGTTACTTTTTTTGGTTTGTTTATATTAAAAAAAAGATATAGAGAACAAAAAAAGAGAAGAAGGAGAGAAGAAAAAAAGGAGGGGGGAGGAAAGGAAAGTAGGGGAGAGGTAAACGTTGGATGGGAATGGAGAAAAGTGGCAGGGCAAAGAAGGGAGAAGCCAGATATTAAAGATATGTAGTGATTTCAGTAAGAATATCCTGTCAAACCAACCAGAAAGACCAACATTTTCCGGATAGTCTCATGAAAAAGGGGGGGGGGGAGAAGTGGCTCATAAGCACACCTCATCTTCCAAGATGAGCTTTATATTCCTCCATTTGTTTTAAATTCTAGCCAACAGACCCATGTAGCGGTGAACTTAGAGATCCTCTCATGTGCAATGTGTATCAACTCCTCCATTTCCTTCATGATATTAATCTTATGGAACCATTCTTTTGTCATGGGAACATCTCTGGAACACCAATGACAAGGGACACATTGCTTGACTGCATTAACCAAAAACATTGTCAAATATTTGGTATAATTTTTGGGGATAAGGTGGAGTGATGCAGAAAGAATTGTGCTGGGGTAAAGTCTAGTTTGTACGACGTAACCGTCTCTATGATACTTTGAACCTGTTGCCAAAAGGAGAGCAAAGTGTGACAGAACCACCATATGTGGAGCATTGTGCCCACTTCCTCCAACACATGTTTGAGATTTAGGGATTAAATTTATGAAGTGAGTTTGATGTACGATCCCAGCTTGAGAATACCTTGTATCCATTTTCTTGTGTGGCTACATTCAAAGAACTTTGATGGTTGAGAGTATACATTTTTTCCCATTCCTAGTCCGTGAAGGTCTGACTCAATTCATGGGATCAGGCCTTACAAGACGAGGTCGCAAAAGCTTCAGATGTATAAAGTGTCAATGAATATAGAGATAGAAGTTGTCTGCTCTTGTAAACAC